TCTCTCTCTCTCTCTCTCTCTCTCTCTCTCTCTCTCTCTCTCTCTTTGTTTTTTAATGCTTTAAAAATGTAAAATCTTTGGGGAGGGAGCACAATGGACTATGATGGCAGACTACTGGAGTGGAATTAATGGAACTGCTTTAGGCCAGTCATGATTCACTCTACAGGACTAGGATGAGTCCCATTCTACCTGAGATGAAGAGATCTTGATAGACTGCTCTCTTATTTAGAGAAGGGAAAAACTAGGGTCCTCTAAGCAAAAACAAAAAAAGGCCAAGAACATCTTTTGGGTAGGCAATGAATAGTGTGTGCTCCCCCAAATAATTATAAATAAAAAACCAAAATTAACAGGCAACTATAAATTAGAGACATTCTGCACAGAAGAGGAAGGGAGAGAGCAAGATCAAAACAGGGAGGGAAATAGCACAATGGATAATGGTGATGATGCAGAGGTAAACTGGTGGTGGGAATTTACAGGGACTACACCTGAGGGAAGAAAGCAAATTATGTACCAAAATGAACAATAATGTAAAATATATATATATAAATAATTTTTAAAAGAAATAGTGTGTTCCGTAACAGAATTGAATACTTCTTTCTGACTGGATTATCAGAATATCATCTATCTCAAAATCTAAGAGAGATGCTAGAAGGATGAAAACTCATTGACTAATCAAAAATAGAATTCTAATAGCTATAATATTTCTATTTCAAGACTCTTCAGAAAGATTGAAATAATCCTTGAAAGTTGTTACATTTTCATTATGGTTCCACATCCCACTACAGTTTCAATTTCAACTTTAGTCTTAGAATGTTCCCTATTATCTCTCGCCTTTCCTTGCCCTTTTCCCTCTCTGCCCATTTCATTTCTAGCTTCCTGCTGAGGGGTCTTCCACTCATCACCAGTGTAATAATTTTGCTTTTTTCCCCCTACTTATTTTTTTTAAACTTTCATTTCTCAGTTTTTCCATTTGTTCTTTCACTGCTTATGTTATCCCTCCAGGGTAAATGAGAAATCTGTATTATTTCCTTCCCAAACTTTTGTCATATCTGCTGTTTCCTGGGTTGCTGTCTTCTTGAAACTCCATCAAGAATTCATTATGTAAACCAGTTGATGTTCACTGTGACATTTTAGGGCTGAATGCATTATTCATGGTGTGGTGATAAAAATTCAATGAAAAGTTTGCAGTTTTAGAAGTCTTATGGTGAAAGTATTCCCTGTGCAGTAATTAGAGACAACAGTAACTGCAAAAACAGATGAAAAGTGAAGAAACCAACCTCTAATTTGTAATACAAAACATAAAAGTCTGCTTGGAGTATTTTTTTTTTTTTGATCACTTGCAAAACATAAAATTTTATAGGTAAAGCATTAATGTCCCCCCAGATGATTTGCTGATTCTTGAGACAAAAGACCTACTTATATCCTAGAATAGTTTTCTCTACAAAATGACTTTCATGTAGAAAATAAAGAATAGACCATATGGATACAGGATGATGTTTGAGGTGCCAGAGGAGTGGGATTTTAAAGGTTATGATAAAAGGAAGCAGTTTTTAGAAAACTCCACAGGAAAAAAATAATATTTAAAACTTTATGAACACATCATTGTAAAAACGTCTTGCTACTCTGATGGTTTCATACCATCATTCATCTCTTAAAGACTCCAAAGCAACAAAGCAGGCAAACTTCCTCATTAACAATACTAGGATATAGATCTGTATTCCTTAGGTTTGATTAGATACTCTTAGCTTTTACTTCCATTATGGCAATCCTACTGCTTTCATGTTCAACCGTGGAAGCAAAAAATTGTGTATGTTTCATCAATATTGGGCTCGTTAAAAATCTTCCCCAGAGAAGCTACATGCAAAAAAATGAAACTAGATCACTACCTCACTCCACTCACAAAAATCAACTCAAAGTGGATTAAAGACCTAGACATAAAAACAAAAACCATAAAATACCTAGAAGCAAAGATGGGTCAAACACTACACGACATACACTTCAGCGACATCTTTAAAGACAGAGCACCCAACGCCACAATAGTGAAGGCAAGGATAAATAGATGGGACTACATCAAGTTAAAGAACTTCTGTACAGCAAAAGAGACATTACTAAAAACAAACAAGACAGCCCACTAATTGGGAAAACATTTTCTCACACAAAAGTAGTGATAAAGGACTGATCACAAAAATATACGGAGAACTGATGAAACTCAACAAAAATAAAGTAAACAACCCCATCAAAAAATGGGCAGAAGAACTAAAAAGACACTTCTCCAAAGAGGAAATTCAGATGGCCAACAGGCATATGAAAAAATGTTCAACATCACTTGTAATAAGGGAGATGCAAATTAAAACCACAATGAGATACCACCTCCCCCCAGTGAGAATG